TTGTGGTTGCTGGATCTTGGCCAGAAAACTCCTATCGTTATATGAACTTTCCGTTCAGAATTCTAATGTAAAAATGGTACCCACGAGTCTTGCTGACGTAAGTAATCCTGATTCAGAAGCTTCCATATGTATAAAATCATCATCACTGTATTTACTTGACTTAGGTATTATTTTATTTCATTTAATGTATCTTCAGTTTTCCCTGATTGTGATACCACATTTCATTCCGATCTGTCAGTTTCGGATACCCTCAAACAAACTGTATTAGATGACGAATCACAAAAACGTTTCGCTTTCCTGCCAGTAGATTTTATTTCTATTAATACTCGCCAAGGTGAAAGGTCTCGCTAGAAGGATGAAATGGTACCAATGGTTCTGAAACTTTGGACGATCATGCAGTCCTTGAAGCCTAGAATCATCAACCATGTAACCCTTGCAATGTTTCTTGTTATCTCTGCCTAGAGCATAGTGAACTGTGAAAAGATGAACTAAAGAGGGGAAAAAAGTTAATATCTGTTCCAAGAAAAAAGCCTAACATAATTCAGGTAATTTGGAAATATAAACTGGTTGCGTTTAACATCATGCAGCATTAACCTAGCTGCTAGGTTCGTATACGATGAGACAAATTTAAATTTAAGTTGCGAAACTCAGACCAGAAATTGAGGTAAATAAATGATTATGTTAAAACAGAAAATAGCTAAAATTTGGGATGAAATCACGTACCCCTTAACCCCTTAAAATGTAGCCTGTTTTCCCCCAAAAGAAAACTCTCTGATAAGGATTGGAAGTCCTAAAATACGATGCATATCAGGGGAAATAACCGTAGCTATCACGTGTAATAACAGGAAGAGGTGTGAAGCAGGAAATGATTGAAAGAGAGAGAGAGAAAGAAAATGGAAATTGTCTCTTCTCTTTATGCTTTCTTATATATAAAGTTTATTGATAATTTCAAAGAAATAGTGTAGAAGAACAAAATCAAAATATTTAATGGTTTCTTTATCCTTATGACTGTTTTATTTCACCTTATTGACATATTACTTCGCTTGTATTTCATGATTGACCTAATTCAGCGTTCCATCAAAGATACTTTATTCATATATTCATTCAAAAGAAACCATGCACGTGGCTATCATAATGTGAAATTTGCTATATAGTTTTCGTATGATTTACCTGTGGCTGTTGGCGGTTGGAGAGCTGCCCATTCATGTGTATGTGCGGCAGGGAACTCGTCTTGACTCTCTTCCCCACGGCGGGCGTTCCCTGGCGGCGTCTAATGGGCGTGTTGTTGTTTTCTGGACTGTGGGCGCCGTCGGGTGTGGCCCTCCCGTGGGTGTGGGCGAGGATGTCGAGACTGCGGTGCCGTGGCTGAAGACCCGCGCCGCCCTCGGGGTCGTAGCAGTCCCATGAACTTCCTGTCGGGGTCATCACGAGGTCGTGGGTGTGCACGGGCGGCTTGGAGGCCTTGCGGCGGGCGTGGCGCGCGATCACGATGCTCACGATGAGGAGGAGCAGAAGCACGCCCGCCACGCCCACTAGCGCTCCCAGCAAGGGCGTGACCCCGAGGAAGGAGCTCTCCGAGTCTGAGGAGAAGGAAGTGAGTCTAGATAATGCATAACTATTTAGGAAATGCATACAACCGCTTCATCGTCTAACTTCGCCTTCTCTTTACACGTTTCAAGGTTCAACAAAACGACGAATGCAACCAGGGCTGTATATATAAAACGACGAATACAACATGGGCTATGTATATAAAACAACAAAACGATTAATGCAACAAGGGCTATGTATATAAAACAATACCTCCAGCCTTTACAACCAATAAAAACAACACAAACTACACACACAAGCCCCTCCACAGCCCCAAGACCTACCCAAGGCGGCGTGCTGTTGTGCCCTGGGCGTGTGGACCTCCAGGCGCAGCGTCTCACTCCTCCCGCGGGCGTTCTGGGCACTCACCCTCAGCGTGGCTCCCTTCCCGCCCTCGAGCCCCGCCACCACCCACTCCGGGAAGTCGCTGTGCAGGAGAGGGAGGCGTGGTTGAATGAGGGAGGGGGGGGGAGGTGAAGTTATTGATTCGGGAAGTTTGGAAGTTTAGTTCGTATTTGCCAGTATTCTTTTACGTGCCGTGGCGTTTTGGTATTCATTCATTTATTGCTATTATTACTATTATCTCTCTTTTATGGAATACAACTCCGTGTTTTTCAGCTTTTTCTGTTTTATTTATTTAGTTGGTTCATTTATTATTATTTATTTATTTATTTATTTTTGTGTGTCTGTACGAGTTATCACTGACATCAACTCCCTTTCTCACCTGCTGACGTTGGCCAGGAGGACGCCGTTCTGCCACGCCTCCAGCAGGAACACCTGAGGCAGCCCGCCGTCGAAGCCCTCCAGACACGTGACGGCGAGCGAGGTGCGCCCTTGGTCCCCGTCGGCGCGGCTCGTGGGCGTCGTGGAGCAGTTGAGCGGCGGGTCGGGCGTCCCGGCGGGCACGAGGGACACCACGCAGGGCTCCCGCTGCTGCCCGACGTCGTTGGAGGCGCGGCAGAGGAGCTCGCCGTAGTCCTGGAGGCTGTGGGGCGTCACGGTCATGGCGGAGGTCAGCCGGTCGGTGCGGATGTTCCTCGCCGGGACGCGCTCCTCGCTCCCGTCCTCCTGCAGCCACGCCCACGCCCACGTCAGGTTGTGGGCGGGCACGGCCTCCACGTGGCAGGTGACGACGGCCGGGGATCCTCGGGCGGCTCCCTGGGTCCTCTGCCGGGCGACTCCTGCGCACACGGGCGCGTCTGCGAAGGATTCAAGGTCATTTTTAACATTCATTTTCATATTCATATTCGAATTCACTTTCAATTGAAAATTCAAGAGCCATTTTCAATTTCACATTCAAATTCAAAATCCATTTTAAATTTCAATTTCAGATTCAAAATCCATTTTCAATTTCAATTTCAAATTCAAAATCCATTTTCAATTTCAAATTCAAACTCAAATTCAAATCCACATTCAATTTCAAATTCAAATTCAAAGCACAATCCGTTAGCTACAATGGTTCTCAGTACTAAATCCTCATGACGTGAATGAAGAATGTACTGTGATGTCCATTCGATAAGTCTTTATTGGGAAACCGAATTGATTAGCTCTTAAATAAAGAAAATCTATACAAAGAATCACACGTTTAACGCTTAAATTTCGTAAAGAAACAATAATTCTTCATTTGTCCTCTGTAAAAAACTACATTTCTTTAGAGTAATGTTGGTTTTACATTAACGTCTCAAAGTTAAGCTGAATATCATAGATTCACGATCAATACATATTTTGTGGGAAAATAATGAAAATGAAAATTTGGGACTTGGGTAGAAAATAACTAGAGGAGGGAGAGGAAAAATAGAAAAAAAGAAAAAGAGAAAGAGAAAAGAAAGTAAGTGAATAGAAAAAAGGAAAGAAAAAGGAGTGAGAAAAAACTAATAGAAAAAACTGCAGACAAGACAAATAAACAAACAAAAAATATGAAGAAAAAACAGAGTATTAACTTCATCACTTCAAAGGCCTTAATAAACAAACAACCCACGACCTCTCCAAATAGTCAAAACAAAACACCACAGCCCCATCACCACCGACCCCCCACACCACTACCCACCACCCATCACCACCATCCACTACCATTTCCTACCCCTACCCACCACTCACTACCACCACTACCACCCCACCAAACCCACCACCCGTCACCACCATCCACTACCACTCCTATCCTATCCACCACCCACACTCACTACCACCCCCACCAACGGACCACCACCCATTAAACCCACCACCACCTACCTACCCGACCCTACCCCCCACCACACAACACACCCTAACCCCCACTACCCTACCCCCAACCAACACCCCCTCACAACCTACCCCCACCACCCTCTAGCACCCACCCTAACCCCCCCACCAACACCCCCCTCAACCCCTACCCCTATCCCCCCCCCCACCCTCTAGCACCACCCTACCCCCCACCACCCTCAAGAACCACCCTACCCCCCTCCCCTACCAATACCCCCCCCCCCACCAACAACAACACCCCAACCACCCAAAACTCACGGCGGACGGTGATGTGGACGGGATTACTGGTGTTGCGCCCTTCGTAGTTGATCGCGGCGCAGGTGTAGGTGCCCGAGTGCTTCCGACGGAGGCGCTGCAGCACGAGACTCAGGCCGCTCACCACCACGCCCCCTGCGACGTCGTGTTCTACGAGGGCGCCCTGAGGAGGAGGGAAAAGGGGGTCGGTGCTTGTCTTTCGTTGGTGAGGATTCCTGCTGTCTTGTCTTGGATTTTTTGTTTTATTTGTTGCCGTTTTTTTAGTGTGTTATTTTTCGTTTATTGAGATATTTTCATTATTGTTTTTCATTTAGCTACCCATATGTATGTTTCGATTTATTGATCTGCTTTTTCTATTTATATGTTTATTTTCATTTTATATTTATTACTCCTTTTTTCAGGGGTGTTTTTTTTTTCTTTCTTTCTTTCTTTTGTTCTAAAACTTGTTCTAAAAATCTATTTCTGTTGAATATCAGGAAAGAAAGTTTTTGTTTTAAAGCCTGTTTCTGCCTTGGGGAGTATGAGGAAAAATAGTTTTGTGTCCCTAGAGCGTAATTCTGTCGAGTAATAAGAAAACACTTTTGCGTTTCCAAGAAGCATTTTCATTTTTGTGAAAGAGGAAGAAATGTTTCGCTACTTCTAGAAAATGAATTCATAATTGCCTGTAGAATATTAAAGAAAATAATAAATGTACATTAGCTATTCGCTTTAGCTATACGAAGCATCTAGTGAAATGGGATAAGATCATTTACAAGACCGTCAATCTAAGAAGTAATAAACACTACATGGCATCATTTTGCTCGAAAGTTCCAAAAACATTTCAAGTTCTGATATCATGTATACTATCATTCACTTTGTCGATTCTAATAATCTGTTCACTTTTATTCTACCCTTCTACCGATTGCAAATAGAAAAAAATATTAAACACACTACAGAACATGATAACCACTGCAATTGCATTCTCATTCAGTTATTCACTACAAGGGATAGCTATTCAGAGTACAAGTTTTAGCGTTCGTACCGTAATATCAGTTAGTAAAGAATGTACATAAAATGCAAATAAAATGCAGTACGCAAACACCTTTGAATACAAGATGGACCCTTTTAATTTTACAATACATTTTCTTTTCCTTTTTTCTATTTTTCTTTGCAGTTTCTGGATACAGGGAAAAACAAGGAGAACACATAGTAAAGAAAACACGGCATATAAAACAAGTAATTACATGATGGTCATGTGATTATCACGCAATAAAGAAAACAAAGACAGGAAAATTAGATGTTGTGAACGGTGCAAGACGATGTTTTGTTGTCATCTCTCACCACTGAATCGTATATCGATACATATTTGATTTATCAAAAAAAAAAAAAACCCTCCGGGATAAACATAAATAACATAAATAAATAACCCGGCCAACTAAATAAGAAACCTTTAAAAAAATAACATAAACTATAAACAAAAAAACAAATTCACACACACCCACAACACAGAAACACTTACGTTATGGTACCACTGGACGCGAATAACAGGTGGATTAGACTTTATAGAACACTCGAAGTAGACGTCACTGCCCTCTGTAATGGCGCTGGGGTCTATGGGTTTGCCGAGTTCCAGATGCACGACGAGTGAGACGCCCGACTGCGAGGGGAAATGAGAGGCAGAAAGGGGGGGAAAGAAAGAGAGAGAGGGAGGTGTCTGGAAGAGAGTGTGAGAGTGAGACAAGGAGTGGAGGGGAAATGAGAGGCTGGAAGAGAGTGTGAGAGTGAGACGGGGTAATGAGACGAGTGATTGAGGGGGGTGACTGGAAGAGAGTGTGAGAGTGAGACAAGGAGTGAGGGAGAGGGGGAAAAGGAGGGGAAAAGAGAGGCGGGGGGAGAAGAAAGTGAGAGAGGGAGAGCGATTGAAGGGGGTGATAAAAGAAAGGGGGGGAAAGAGAGAGAGAGGGGTGTCTGGAAGAATGTGAGAGTGAGACAAGGAGTGAGGGGGAGGTGGAAAGGAGGGAAAGGAGAGGCGGGGGTAAAAGAGAGTGAGAGACGGAGAGTGATTGAAGGGGGGGGGAGAAAGAGAGAGAGAGGTGTCTGGAAGAGAGTGTGAGAGTGAGAGTAAAGAGTGGGCGAGAGGGGGTAAAGGAGGGGAAATGAGAGGCGGGGGGTAAAAGAGAGTGAGAGACGGAGAGTGATTGAGGGGGGGGGGAGAAAGAGAGAGAGGGGGGTGTCTGGAAGAGAGTGTGAGAGTGAGAAAAGGAGTGAGGGAGAGGGGGTAATGGAGGGGAAATGAGAGGGGGGAAGAGAGTGAGAGAGTGAGACAAGAGTGAGGGAGAGGGAATAAAAGAGGGGAAATGAGAGCCGGGGGGGGAAGAGAGTGATTGAGGGGGTTTGTCTGGAAGAGAGTATGAGAGTGAGAGACGAGAGGGAGTGAGGGAGAGGGTGAAAAAGGAGGGGAAATGAGAGGGGGGGAGAAGAACAGTGAGAGAGGGAGAGCGATTGAGGGGTGATAAAAGGAGAGGCGGAGAAAAAAAGAGGGGGGGTGTGGGAAGAGAGTGTGAGAATGAGAGACGAGAGGAGTGAGGAAAGGGTAAAATTGAAGGGGAAATAAGAGGGGGGGAGGAAAGGGAGTGAGAGATGGGGAAAGCTGAAGGGAGGAGTGAGGAAAGTGATTGAGAGGGTAATAAAAGAGAGGGGGAAAGAAGAAAGAGAGAAGGGCGTGTCTGGAAGGAAGTGTGAGAGTGAGAGACGAGAGAGAGGGAGAGGGTGAAAGAAGAAGGGGGAAATAAGATTGATGGGGGAAGGAGGGAAAAGTGAGAGAAAGGAATTAAGAGGGTGAAAAAAAGAGGGTTGGGGAGAGAGAAGAAAGAAAGAAATTGGGGAGAGAGAAAAAAGAAAGAAATTGGGGAAGGAGAGAGTAAGAGAGGGAGGGAGAGGGTGAAAGAGAAGAGGGAAATGAGAGGGCGGGGAGAGAAGAGAGTGAGAGATGGGGGAAGGAAGGAGGGAGAGAGGACCGTGGAAGGAAGTGTGAAAGTGAGAGAGAGGCTGAAAAGGAGAGGAGAGAAGAAGAAAGAGAGAGATGGGGGAGGAAGGAGAAGACGGGAGGGCCGTAAGAGAAGATGTGAGAACGAGATACGAGGAGTGAAGGAGAGAGTGAAAAAGAGAAGAAAAAGAGAGATGGAGGAGGAAGGGAGGGAGGAAGGTGAATAAGCTTGAGAGAGGGTGAGAGGGAGGCGTGAAAAAGAGAGAGAAAGGGGAGGGGGCAGGGGACACGCGGGGGGAGGGAACCTGAGAGCGAGACTGAGGAAGAGAGGGAGAGAGAGCGAGAGGGAGAGGACAATGGGAGAAAGATAGGTTGAGAAAGGCGGAGAGAGGGAGAGAGAGGGAGAGAGGAAGAGACTGAGATCGCAGGATAGAGGGCTAGATGGAGATAGGAAAAGGAGTGAAGGAGAGAGGGAGAGATGGAGACAGGAAGAGAATGGAGAGAGGATGAAAGAAAGGGAAAGAGGGAGAGCGTCAGAAGGGAGTAGGAATGGGAGAAACGATGAGAGTGAAAGAGTGAAAATGAGGAGAAAGGGTGTGAAGGAGAGGGAGAGGGGAGTGAAGAAGGAAAAGATTCAGAAGAGGAGTTAAAAGGAAAACGGATAAAGGGGGGTGCGAAGAGGAAGAGGATGTGGGTGCGAAGAGGAGGAGGAAGGAAGAATGACTGCATTGTGATGTAGTTAGAAGAGAGGAAGGGGGGGGGGGGTCGGGGTCAGGGTGAAGAGAGAATGGGTGAGGATGCGGGTGAGCAGAGAGAGAGAGAGAGAGAGAGAGAGAGAGAGAGAGAGAGAGAGAGAGAGAGAGAGAGAGAGAGAGAGAGAGAGAGAGAGAGAGAGAGAGAAGAGAAGAGAAGAGAGAAGAAGAAGAGAGAAGAAGAAGAAGAGAGAGAAGAAGAAGAAGAAGAAAAGAGAGAAATCAATAACCTTCCTTCACACAACACGAAAAAAATCCAAAAAATCAAACACACACAAACAAACAAAAAAAAAACATCAATAATACACACCAACATATTCCCTCAGCTCTATAACAAAAGACGAAGAGAAAGGCCACCACTTACAGTGCACTTCCAACTTGACAGAATCGGTGAGTCGAGCGTGGGGCATGGCTGGGTTGACGGCAATGCAAGCCAAAGTTACCCCGTCGAAGTCCATGTCAACCTCTATGGTTAGCGTCGCTGTCGTAACGTTTCCTGCGTCTTCCATCTGCGGAAAAAAACGTTTGCTGTAGAGAGGTTAATGGCATCATGCAGAGTAAATTGCCCTATATATTTTTTCCTGATTTTTTCCTTATACTCTTTTTTTCTCTCTTTTTTTATTCAAATGCCTTACCATTATATGCTAATACCTGCCATGGAATTATGTTGTCATAAGGTCTAGCAGAGCCTATAAAAAGGGAAATCTGAATACGTAATTATCCTTAATTACAGACAATTGGCTTTGTAAAATAAGTGGATTTGTAGGCCCAGCAATACACCGATGTAAACAAACCTTGATAACATTACGACTTAATGGCATCATAAAATCTATCGATTCCGGGAGTTATAATAATAATAGAACTAAAATCAAGAACCGACGTTATTTTAGAGCACATTGAATTATTCTGTTGTAAGATTTCTATAGGACATTAACATTATATAACCTGCTTTTTGTGATATATATCCATCTGTGCCGGTTTACATTCCCATAGACTCAACACAATCACGATTAAATCTGACTACGAACATATCATAAATCGGTACACTAAACTCTCCCAGAATGTTATAGTAATGTGTTACCCGATTAGTTTTTTTTCTTTCATTCTTTTTTTGGCAACGAAGGATAACGTTAATATCAGTAACTCTGGCACTAATTGCACCCGTAATGAGAACAGGAATCGTTGGTAATACCCCTGCCCTCTGAATCAAACTCTATTGCCTTTTGATAGGAATTCGCAACCAAGGATTATTTTCGATGTTTTTTTTTTTTTTTTTTTTTTTTTTTAGTGTCGAGGCTTATTAGTGTGTTTCCGAAGTCGAAATAATCGTCCCAAATACAGTATTAACGATATGGAATTGCTTGTTTCGGTCGTTGATCCTGAATGACCGATTTGGACGGGAAGTGCTGGTGTTTCGCTTTTACCGCTTCCTATTCTTCCTCTTTTTCTTTTACTATTTCTTCATCTTCTTCTTCTTCTTCGTCTTCTTATTCCTCCACCCCCTCTTCCTCTTCCCCTTATTTTCCCTCTCTCTTCCCTTCTTTTTTCCCCTCCTTTTCCCCCTCCTCTTTTCTTCCTGTTCTTGTTCTTGTTCTTTTTGTTTATCCTCGTCCACTCTCTTCTCTCCTCTTCCTTTCTCTTTTATTCTTCTGCTCTATCTTCTCCTCGCCTCGTATTTCACGTCTGTTTCAAATACTTAAACCTTAAGCATCGTACATGGAGCCAAACCGTTTCCACCAAAGAACATTCACACACACACACACACACACACACACACACACACACACACACACACACACACACACACACACACACACACACACACACACACACACACACACACACACACACACACACACACACACACACACACACACACACACACACACACACACACACACACACACGCCAATAAACAAGTAAAAAAAATAGATAAATAAATAACAGAAAAAACAGGTTGAAATATAATATAAAACGAAAATCAAACTGGGGAAATATTTCATAGGAATCCTCACCCAGAGATTTAGATTCTAATTAAAACAGATGCTCTTAATTAATGGTCATTTCTAAAGGGAGAGTTCAGCTTATCCATGGGAGTTATAAGATAGCTTTGTGAGGGAGGTTTTCTAATTAAGTCGAATTGAAAGTCATATATTGTGTTTGTAAGGAACTTTGATTTTTTTCGTTATCTTTAAATTGCTTTTTTTTCCTCAATTTGCATATTTCAAATAAAATTTACGTCGGCCTTCAATAACAGCTTATTTAAGGTCATTTGATAAAACAAAACAATAACAGTAATAACATTATATTGATTACACATCAAAGATTCAAAAAGAACAAACAATTAGCGTGTTCTCAAATCCTATACAACAACACTCACAAACAAATCTATAACCACAAAAAAATCACACTCACAAACAATAACACTCACAAACACTATAAATGAAGTAACACTCACAAACAAATCTATAACCACAAACAACTCACTTACTCTCACAAACAACAACACTCACAGACACTAAAACCACAATAGATGAAGTAACACTCACAAACAAAACTATAACCACAAAAAAACTCATCAACTCGAACATAAACTACCTAATCAGACGCACATTAACAACACTTTAATAAGTAGAGCTGCCTCACTAACCTACTTTAAACACTTACCTAAACTAATTCTCAAATAAACCAGCCAAGGGTCCTTATGAAACTTTCTGAATAAACCATTTTACGTTTTACTTACAAATCTACACATATACTTAAAAACAAGGAATTCTGGATAAATATTCATAATCAAGACTTTAATTAACTGAGCTAACCTAAGATGGAACCTCAACATCAATACCCTTATAAGGAAAAATTTGATTATAACTTTAATTGTAAAAGAAGGGAAGGGAGAGGGAAAGGAAGAGGAAGAGGAAGAGGAAGGGAGAGGGAAAGGAAGAGGAGGAGGAAGAGGATTAAGGGAAGGGAGAGGGAAAGGGAGAGGAAGAGGACGAGAAAGAGGAAGAGGAGGAGGTGGAGGAATAAGAAGACGAAGAAAAAGAGGAAGAGGAGGAGGTGGAGGAATAAGAAGACGAAGAAGAAGAGGAAGAGGAGGAGGTGGAGGAATAAGAAGACGCAGTAGTATACTAGAGGTCATTCACACAACATAAACTAAATATCTTCCAGCAAAGAAGATGATGACGACGAAGAAGAAAAGGAAGAAGACGGAGACAGCAATGTAGAAGAAGAGGATGAGGAAAAGGAAGAAAAAGAAGAGTGAAGAAAAAGAAGAAAAGGAAGAGGAAGAGGAAAAAAAAAAAGCAGAAGAAAAAAAAGAAAAAGAAAAAAAGAAGCAGAAGCAGAAGCACAAGAAGAAGAAGACAACGGCGAAGAATAAAATAAAGAAGAATTAAAAATTATCCTCCACATAAACTAACACCCCCCCCCCAAAAAAAAAAAAAAAAAACACACACACCCTCTCACCCTCCCCAACACACACAAGACCAGAACCGAGACACCAAAAACACACACCACACCTCTCCCCCCCTCCCCTACCCCCCCACACACACAAGGACCAGAACCCAGGCCCAAAAAACACCACACGACACTTCTCTACCCTCCCCCCCCCCAGACACACACAAGGACCAGAACCCAGACACCAAAAACACACCACACACCTCTCCCTCCCCCTCCCCCTACCCTCCCCACACACACCAGAACCCAGGACCCAAAAAAACACAACACGACACTTCTCTCCCCCCCCCCCCCCCCCCAGACACACACCAGAACCCAGGACCCCAAAAACACACACGCACAGGACCAGACCCCCAAGACCCCAAAAACACAAACACGAACCTCTCTCCCCCTCCCCCCACCCTCCCCACACACAAGGACCAGAACCCAGGACCCCATAAAACACACACACAACACCTTCCCCCCCCCGACACACACCAGAACCCAGGACCCCCAAAACACACACACGACACCTCTCCCCCCACCCTCCCACACACAAGGACCAGAACCAAGACCCCAACACAAACACGACACCTCTCTCCCCCTCCCCCCACCCTCCCCCACACACAAGGACCAGAACCCAGGACCCCATAAAACACACACACACACCTCTCCCCCCCCCCCCCCGACACACACCAGAACCCAGGACCCCAAAAACACACACACGACACTTCCCCCCTTAAAACACAAACACGACACTCTCTCCCCTCCCCCACCCTCCCCCCACACACAAGGACCAGAACCCAGGACCCCAAAAACACACACACAACACCTCTCCCCCCCCCCGACACACCAGAACCCAGGACCCCCAAAACACACACGACACCTTTCCCCCCTCCCCCCCCTCCCCACACACAAGGACCCCAGGAACAGACACACACCAGAACCAGGACCCCCAAAACACATGACACCTCCCCCCCTCCCCCCACCCACAACACACCAGAACTAAGACCCTAGAAACACACACACGACACTTCTCCCCCCTTCCCCTCCCCCAACACACATCAGAACCCAGGACCCCCAAAACACACACACGACACCTCTCTCCCTTCTCCCCTCCCCCCAACACCAGAACCCAGGACCCCAAACACACACGCGACACCTCTCCCCCTCCCCCCACCTCCCCCACACACACCAGAACCCAGGACCCAAAAACACACACACGACACCTCTCCCCCTTCTCCCCCCCCCACACACACCAGAACCCAGGACCCCAAAACACACACACGTCCAGGACACCAGACACCCAGGAAAAAACACACACACACGACACCTCCCCCCCACCCCCCCCCACACACAAGACCAGAACCCAGGACCCCAAGGCACTACTCACGGCGTGCAGGACGGAAGTGAGATGAGAGTGTCCGCGCCACCAGGAGAGCTCTGCAGGAGGGTGGGATCCGACGCTGCGCAGACGAGCCTCAACATCGTCCCTGCAGACACCGCCACGCCAGAGCCCAGGATCTGCACGTCGAGCGGAGGCACTGGAGGAGGAGGTGAAGGAGGCGTAAGGAGAGGTTGGAGTGAGAGGGATATTTTTTTTTTTTCTTCTTTTTTAAGGGCGTCTCAATGTCTTTGGTTATTTTCTGTATGACTTATTATTGAATATATATTGAATGTATTTATTATCAATGTATAGTTTATCTATTAATATGTTGTCTATGGTTATTTTCTGAATTATTTATTATTGAATTTACTCGAAGAACGTAATCATCTCTTCAATGTCAACTCATATATATCTAAAGCCAAGGAGATGAAGAAAAAGAAGAAAAACAAAAAGAAAGAGAAAAAAAAAAAAAGAAAAAAAATTAGGAAAAATAAAATAAAATGAAAAAGAATGCGAAAAAAAAAAAAAAGAAATGATTGAAAAAAAAAAGAAAAAATACAAAGAAAAATGACATGAAAACAATGAAAAATACAAAAAGAAAAAAAATAAAAAAAATAAACAAACATCATTATCCTAATAACTTTAAAAAAATGCCGACTGCCCAAGACCCACAGGTGATATTGAGAGCCACGGAGGCGGTCCTCGGCTGGATAAGCGTCGTCTTGCTCGTCTGCGAACTGAGGGGCGTTTGGGCGTGGCAGGTGAGGGTCGCGCCCTGCAGGTCCCGAGAGGCTGTCACCGATGCCGTCACCTCGACCATGCCCTTCCCTGAGAGAGAGCAAAAAGTCAGACCTTAAAATATTTTCTGAGAGACCGCAGAGAGTTAGACCTTAAAATATTTCCTGGGAGAAAGCAAAGAGTCAGACCTTAAAATATTTCCTGAGAGAACCTTAAAATATTTCCTGGGAGAAAGCAAAGAGTCAGACCTTAAAATATTCCCTGAGAGAACCTTAAAATATTTCCTGAGAGAACCTCAAAATATATCCTGAGAGAACCTTTAAATATTTCCCGAGAGAACGCAAAGAGTCAGACCTTAAAGCCCTATCACACTATCACATTTTCCGTCATTTTTTTGCGTTTCCGAAAGAACTTTCCGTATAAAAAGCGACTGACCCATGTAAACAAACCTGGCGCTTTCGGAGTGAGGTCCCGGGAATCACACGAACATTCTCATATATATTACGTTATTTTAAGAGAAATATGATGATGCATATTGTATATACGAATGTTCTAAAATATTCGTTTATGTTTACATTCACTCATCCTATCTAATTTATTAATAGCACAAGATCAAGACGGAAATTAGTCAGACGGAAAGGGTCGCAACCGTCTTCGTCTGGGAGGCGTTCCGTTTGCAAACGATACTTACGAAGACCCTCAAAGTCAGACGGAAACGTAAAAAATGATGGAAAAAGTGATAGTGTGATATCAAAATATTTCCTGAGAGGACGCAAAGAGTCAGACCTTAAAATATTTCTTAGCATGTAACACGAACATATTTGTTATGGAACCGTCGAAGTAGGTAGAGTACGGCAGGAAAGCATGCAGAGGTTGTTTTCAAGGTCACAGTGATGGGTTTATGAGTCGTTAACAAAGGACGACTGTGTGTTTGGATTTGGTGATGAGGAGGATGCCAGTTTTGCATTTTTGTAGTTGTTGTTTCTCGAGTAGGTTTTGGAATACTATTATGTAATTTCTTATGTGGTTTATTTAGTGTTAATGTATTAGATTTCGTGATAAAGAGGATGTTGCATATATATATATATATATATATATATATATATATATATATATATATATATTTATTTTTTTTTCCTTCTTTCTTTTTTTTCCCCGTGTAGATCCTGGAATACTATTTTGTAATTTCTCGTAGGGTTTATTTATTATTAATGTTTAGCAGATTTTTCTTTTCAAATTCATAACGGGAATGGATAATACTTACATGGCCAAAAAAATACATTTATTAGTACCAAATGCTAATTAAAATGTCCATCTTTCCAAATCCCAAACTATTTTTTATCTTTTTTATCAATTAATATAAATATCTAATATATTCCTATGGATACATTTACTTATCTATCCATCTACACGTCTATCAAACATCTAACCAAACCCCAAAACATCACAAAACAAAACAAAAAGCTAAGAAAAACAAGCAAACAAACAATATAAAAATCAACGAAAAAAAAAAAATAAAGAATTAAAAAACAAAACTAAAAGAAAATGATTTATAAACAAAACTGGCATATAAACGAAAAAAACGAAAGCAAGAAAAAAACCAACCTCCCCCCCCCCCAAAAAAAAAACGAAAAAAAAAATTAAAAAAAAAATAAAAAATAATGATAAATTAAAATAACAATAACAAAATCTCACAACACCTCCAACCCCCACCCCCACCCCCGCGACGCCTTCCCCGCCCCGACGCCCTCCCGCCCGTGACATCCTTACCTGAGGCGACGTCCGTGGAGGCCTCCAGCCGCTGCGGGAGCCTCGTGCCCTGTCGCCACCAGGTCAGCACGGGGGGAGGCCGCCCCCCGACGCTCCGGCAGGTGAGCTGCTGTCGAGAGCCCTCACTCAGGGGCCGACGCTCCCACGACGCCGACCCCTGCCACAGGATCACGGGGGACCGGGGGCACTGCAATGAGAAAGGGGGGTGAGTGGGGGGGGACCGGGGCACTGTAATGAAAAGGGGGGGGGTGAGTGGGAGGGGGGACGGGGGGCACTGCAATGAGAGAAAGGGGGTGAGTGGGGGGGGGGGACCTGGGGCACTGTAATGAAAGGGGGGGGGGTGAGTGGGAGGGGGGACGTGGGGGCACTGTAATGAGAGAAGGGGGATGAGTGGGAGGGGGTAAGTGGGTGGGGGGGCTGGGAACTGTAATGAGAGAAGGGAGGGGGTGAGTGGGTGGGACCGGGGGTGTGGAGGGGGGGGAGTGGGTGGGGACCTGGGGGGCACTGTAATGAAGAAGGGGGGTAAGTGGGTGGGGACCGGGGGGGGGGCACTGTAATGAGAGAATGGGGGTGAGTGGGAGGGGTGGGGGGGACCTGGGGGCACTGTATTGATAGGAGATGGGGGGGGGGGGTGCCACGGGTCGAAGAGCAACTGTGCGTGACTTCCTACCGTCATGTCCGTGATGTATGGGACGTCTGTTCTTAAACGTGTTTGTTTTCACCTTTTTTTTGCCCCCCCCCCCCTTTTGTCCTTTTCTTCTTCTTTTGTCCGTTTTTTTCTTCTTCTTCTTTTGTCCGTGTCGGCTTCTTCTTTTGTCTGTTTTTTTGTTTGTTTGTTTGTTTTTTTGCCGTTTTTTCTTCTTCTTTTGTCCGTTTTTTTTTCTTCTTCTTTTGTCCGTTTTTTTTTTTTTTTTCTTTCTTTTTTTGTCCATTTTTAAGATGCGTTCATGAAGTCTCCTGTGCTTCTATATATATGCGGAAACTGATTTATTTTAGTCATTGGGACAGGACAAGAGTATGATATATTATAGTTCAATAGCATATGATATATGCATGTGTACAAGTTTTTACGCATGTAAGTATGCATGTATGTATCTGAGTATGTATGGGATGTGTGTGTGTGTGTGTGTGTGTGTGTGTGTGTGTGTGTGTGTGTGTGTGTGTGTGTGTGTGTGTGTGTGTGTGTGTGTGTGTGTGTGTGTGTGTGTGTGTGTGTGTGTGTGTGTGTGTGTGTGTGTGCGTGTGTGTGTGTGTGTGTGCATATACATATATACATATATATCTTTAGAAGTTTACATTCATAATGGTCTTGCACCAGTAGTGTCAGACCTTAAAATATTTCTTAACATGTACCACTAACATATTTGTTATGGAACCGTTTAGGTATGTAGATAAGTTCATTTGAATATACGTTTATGGAGTTCAAAATGCATCGTAACTTCCATAAGAAAATACATAACAAAAAACAACACGTTTGGACAAAGCACCAGTCACCGCATCCAAAATAAGAAGCAAAATGTCTTAGCTGGCAACTCCTGTCTCCATATGGCGGCACAACAGCTGAGACAATTCGAGGTGAGATGCAGGTTAATCACTGTTATCGACCTTATATAACAGGCCAGAAGGTGCAGACGCTGTTATCACCGACTGTTACTTTTCTATTCTCCGTCTGCCAACGCTGTATTGACCTCGGAAGCGTGGTATTTGTTACGTGTGAAAATTTGCGTTGGGCAACCGAGACTAATGAATATAATTATCCGTTGTTTATAGGCTAAGAGCAGGTTCCGGACATGTTATCTCGTTTGAATCAGGATAAGCTTGATTGCGATTCATTGAGTAAATTAATTTAAGAAAGTGATTAAATAAATGTCTTGATGAGGTGCAGCGAACGCAAGACGAAAAAGGAGGGACAGGGACCGAAAATAATAATAATAGTAATAATAATAAATATAATAATATATAATAATAATATTAATAATAATAATAATAATAATAATAATAATAATAATAATAAAAGGAAAAAATGAACGAAAGAAGACCGCTTACTCTACCCCCTAAGAATACCATAACATACATCTACCTACATTAAGCGTGAGAAATCCCAATCTTCCATTAGGAGTAAATCACACTAAACTATAACCACAAAGATAATAAACAACAATAAACAGAATCACACAATCTGGTGCTCAGTGGCAACAGGTATCCCCGAGACGCCCTATAAATACCGGGACAAGAACCTCCTTTCCGGTCGATCTTCACATTTCCTTTGGCTTCTGGAACCTTCTACGACACTCCTACTTCCTCTTGAGATCTACAGTTCACGCCGGCGAAGATTTATCGAAATGTTTTCCCGTCGATATCAAACAGCTGATCATAAGGTCCATGGGATTTTCTCGGAAGCGGAACCATAAGCCATCATTACGTAAATCACAGGCACAATGGGTCATGATACCGTGCTGATAATACCTGGTATTATCTGTATCAGTCGCTCAGCTGTACAGTCAGCCAACTTTTCTTAAATGTTATACGAATTGTGTGTGTATGTAGGTACGAATTTATGCACGCACACATACGCTCTTATATATAATAACTTTTACACTATCACATATACAGTCAAAGAGGTCAACCATAAAGAGATAGAAATAATGAAAGATAAGATGGTAATGAAGGAGGACGAGGAAGAGGAGAGGAGGAGGAGGAGGAGGAGGAGGAGGAGGAGGAGGAGGAGCGAAGAAGAGAGGAAGGAGGAGGAAGGAGGAAGGAGGAAGAGAAGGAGGAGGAGGAGAAGGAGGAGAGGAGGAGGAGGAGGAGGGAAGAAGAAAAAAAATAGAGAAAGGGGAGAAAGACAAAGAAAAAAATAATACAATGAAAGAAGGGAAAAGCGAGTAGACAGAAGAGAAAGAGAAAGGAAAAAGAAAGAAAAAAGAAAAAAAAGGAGGGGGAGGAGTTGGAGAAAATGGAGAAAAGAGAAAGAAAAAGAAAAAAAAATAATATGAAAGAAGGAAAAAGCGAGTTGTAAGAAAAGAGAAAGGAAATATAAACAAAGAAAGAAAAAAAGAAAGTCCTCACAAATCCCTTTGTACCTCTCACCCGCCCAGGTTTCTCGCCCACCCATTCCGGCAGCTGGGCGAGGGCGTGCGGGCAACAGGTCGATGCGGGCGGCGGGGCAGCAGGTCCTAATCCCTGGCTGCGGTCGAGAGGCAGGTCCTCGGGATGGTCCCGCGGGAGTGGACGCTCTCTCTCTCTCTCTCTCGCTCTCGCTCTCGCTCTCGCTCTCGCTCTCGCTCTCTCGCTCTCTCTTCTTTTTTTTCTCTTTCTCTTCTTTCTCTCTCTCTCACTTTCTCTCTTTTTTTCTCTCTTTCTCTTTCTCTTCCTCTTTCTCTCTTTCTTTTCTTCTTTCTCTTTCTCTTTCTCTTTCTGTCCCGAATCCTCCCCCTTTCCCTCTCACTTTTCTACTATACTGTTCCTTCTTCCCTCTCTCATCCCCATCTTCCTCTCCCTCTTCCCTTTCCCTTTCGGCCCCCCTCTCCTTCACCCTCTCTCTCTTTCTCTCCCTCTCTCTCTTAATTTTCTGCCATATTGTTCCCTCTTCCTCCTTTCTTCACAGTTTTATTTTAGTCTCTATTTCCTTTTGACAGTTTCTTATACATCCAATGGATTATATCATTATCATAAACAGCAATTTTGCACCTAATACATCTCCATTAAGGATCATTATATCGAACGTTCGTAATAAATGGACGTTATAAATTTGGATCTGAACTTAAAACTACGAAATATATATAATATCAAATATAAAGATGAGACCACAAATTCCGACTGAAAAAAAATACAAAGGAAAAGATACTCGAACTCTGTAATATCAAGATATGAAATACATATATTAAAAAAATAATAAAACATAAAAAATAAACATAAAAAATAGAAAATGAAAAAAAATTATAAAGTTCAATGAAAAAAAAAGATAAAAGAAAATGAAAAAAATATATAAAGTTCCCATGAAAAATGATCAAACAAATGGTACTTTCACGAGCAACATTACACTTTCCAGCTCGAGATGAATCAGCCGCGTCTTGCAAGGGAGTGCTGCTAAAATTCCACGAAATCCAATAGGTTCTTATCAAACTTCATTAAAAATTTATCAGAGTGTTCGTTTAATTTCTTCGGTTTCCATGCCAGTATAAATGACAATAGAAACACTCATACAGATGCAGACATGACATGCATAGACACTCACACACAAACACACATAAACACATGTATACACACACACAACACACACACACACACACACACACACACACACACACACACACACACACACACACACACACACACACACACACACACACACACACACACACCACACCACCCTGCCACACCACACTGATAATAACAGTAATGAAAATTTATTAACAGTTCCAACCACTCCATCAAAACTCCAAAAGCAAACACGAGTACACACATAAAAGGGAATGAACGTCTACATTAGTATCTCATTTTTCTTTCCCCTTTTTTCTCTCTCTCTCTCATTCTGCTCTCTCTCTCTCTCTCTCATTCTCTCTCTCTCTTCTCTCTCTCTCTCTCTCTCTCTCTCTCTCTCTCTCTCTCTCCTCTCTTCTCTCTTCTCTCTCTCTCTCTCTCTCTCTCTCTCTCTCCCTTTTTCTGCTTCTCTTTGCACTCGCTCCTACTCTGTGGGTTTTTGTCCTTCTTTCTGTCTCTCGGTGTCTCTGTCCCTCTCTATCTCTCTCCTTCTCTCTCTCCATCTTTCTCCTTCCCGCTCTCTATCTCTCTCCTCCCCCCTCACTCTTCCTCCTTCCCTCTCACTCTTTCTCCTTCCCTCTCACTCTTTCTCCTTCCCTCTCACTCT